GAAGCACAGGAGTGTAAGCTAGCACGCGCATGCATTGAGGGTTACAGGTTCAATGCCTTCAGTTACTTTAAGAAATGTATTCACATTTCTGGGCAATAGAATGAGCAAGAATGATGTTAATCATTTATGGGAAAGAGGAAAAGAGAAACACAATCAACAGAGACAGTAAACTGGACGTTTTATAACATTTTAAAACATATTTTACTTCAACTTTCAAAAATAAATCTTTTTGTTCTAAACTTTGGAACTTACAAAGGTTTCTTTCTAAATTAATTTCAAAAGAAAAAGAATCACTATCCCAAACCCTCTAAGATATAATGTCAGGATAGCAAAACTAACCACAGGACAAATATTCAACTAACAATCTCAACAAATCTTTAAAATACTGAAATACATATCTCATTAGCTTATAGCATCCTAACAAATCATGAAGTTTAAATTTCATGCGTCTGAAGAGAGAGCTCAGCCATCATTTCTTAGATTATAAAAGTGAACAATATATAAAGTTTAATTCTTTAAAAAAATGTTCAGTTTAATGATCTGAGACCTAAAACCCCTTTTATACAAGGTGCTCTACATCTTTGAGACATTGCCTGAACCCTGTGAATGTGAAGTTCCAGACTGGTCAATACAGGTGTTACTGAGCATGATCAGCGGAGATTCTGAGCAGCGCTTAGCTTAGACACGGCACTACAGTCAACATGCTTGAGAACTAAAAATCGCGGTCCCATACATCTAAAACAATTTCCAAATACAAGTTCCCACGTGGATCAGTTCAATTCCATGTAAAATTATTTCTATTAAATAATGAGAGTATGTTTAATTGCAAAAGTTAAATATTTAATAAGTTTTAGTACTAGGTATTTCATATATGTTGAACAGAATTAAATCTGGGATCATAAAAAATGTATTTAAAAAAAATTCCTTTGGGGGCCACAGTATGCAGCGGGTGAAGGCACTTGCCACTCAAGCCTGAGACCTTCATCAGGAGAGAATCAACTCCTGAAAGCTGCCCTCGGGCTTTTCTGCACATCCTTGCACTCTCTCACACATGTAAAATGTTTCAAATTATTATAAATATTTTTTTGGTTTTTTGAGACAGGGTTTCGCTGTAGTATTATAAGCAATTTTTAAGTACTGAAAACAAAAGTTATGTGCTCTTTTAGCTTATGAGGAATATCTAAATGTTTGTCTAAACTAAATATGCTAACTACCAGTCTTCTATAACATCATTTGAAGTCATATCAGTTTGAACACAGAAATCACATTTTCCCTTTTTTCTTCCTTGCCAACCATCAGATATTAAAAAAAATACTTATCACTAAAATTTTAAATTTATACAAATTACTTATTTGCAATCCTTTCTTAAAATTATAGTATGGTTGCCACCAACAAAACGACACAATTGAACACTTAAGACTTAATTTCAGCCACATAACATACTTTACTTGCATAATATTCTTGGTATTAGTAATCCTTATAAGTACGTCTCCATTTGGCATGAGCTGTTTAGTAATTTCGGCATTAATGTTAAAGTCCAAGACTCGAATATGAAAATTAGCATTTAAACATAGCCACAGGCGGGAAATAAGGCAGTGTTGGTATTTGGTAAATACACCGGTAACAACTATCTTTATGTCCTTAGTGGCAAATAATCGCAGTTATTATAACACTATTTCTAACCACATGACACAAATCTACCTATGACAGCACGAAGTAAACTTAATCCTGAATGACTACAAATGGAAGTTTCTTGAACTTCTCATAGCGATGATTCTTGAAATGAAAACGTCCAGTTATTCAGATTACCGAATTTCCACGCGCGTATTCATACTCGACAGTGCGTCACTGCCTCGTGGATGCTACCTGTGATGCTTCCCGGTTTTTAATTCGGTCCTGGGTGGCTCAAGGGGGCGGATGAGCGGGAGCTGGGTCCCCTCGGATCATTTCCCAGGGAGGCAGACCCCCTTTCCCCGTGCAGTCTCCGCCCCGCGACCCGCTGTTCCTCCCGCATCCCTGCGTGCGTTAGCGGCCGCGTCGGGCAGTTGGATCCCGACCGCCACTCTCGCAGATGCGCTCGGCGGCCGGGCCCTCGAGGAACCCGGGGCAGCCGCGGAGCCAGGGCAAGGGCCGCCGCGGGCATCTG